TTTACTTGTTTCTGCCCATATTTCCTCCAATTATAGCCATCATAAGAGGGTCTATCAGTTCTAGCAGGTATACCTTTGGGATCCTCATCCATGTTCTGAGATGTCATCTTTGAGGGTTCACTTGTCTGCTCTGTATCTGCCTGTGATGTAGTACTCTGCTGAATATTTGAGATGAATTGGGATTGGAAATTTTGCTTTTCTTAGTTCAGTTGTTGAGCTCTTGCCTCAACTGCTAGTAGTGCTTGTTGATGACTAGTATTGAAGTTTCCTTGTTGAAATGAAACAGTAATGTCAGCAAAAATATAGGTTAGTTTTCAAAGTTCAACATAATCCTTGAGTTCATGATCTATTATATTAGGAAAAAAAAAAAAAAAGAGTTCCTATTACCAGAGCAGAATTTAGCTACTAACCATGTTTGCCAAGAGAGAAACAGTAGTCTTTGAGACAAGCTTTGCTTGTGGTTTATAAACCAAAGTCGGTTTGCTATCTGATTCTGAAACCTTATCAGTTAAATTACAGGCTGCTGTTCTGGGAAGCTCTGCCTGAAATTGTAGGACGGTAGAAAGATCAGAGGACAAATTATACCTAAATGAGAAGAATATTCAGAAGTCTAAGTGGTCACCTGAGAAGTAACCATCATTGTTGGGGCATGACTAACCCCTGGCTTGAACCTCACAGTCTTTGGTCTAATTGCAGCAACTGCAGTTTCAAAACAAGAATTAGTGGGTGAGGCATTAATGGCACCTGCAAGGAGCTCCGAGAAAGACCTAAAACTGGAACAAGTAGGCCTTGAAGCTACTGGTTTGGCTATGACTACCCTCTCTGCCTCTTTAATATCCATTTTTCTAATGAAGTAGGAAATGCTGCTTATACTTTACTGGAGCATGCTATGCCAGCGCAAGGCCACAAGAAAAACTTTGCAACTCAGTTGTACTAAACCCTCAATTCTCAATTTATAGCTTATTATAGAAGGAATGAGAAGTTGATGTATTAGAAGTCACTCTCTGTATCAACGCCTCACATTTCACAAACCTGCATTCACCAGGATTATATTTATTACGTAAAGAATGCTAAAGAGTAAAATTGGCAAGGAAGAATGAAAAGAGAGAAAGGTAGATAAAATATCATAAAAGAAGTTTCCTATGCAATGGCATCAGCCTCCATGAAACAATACCTGATTTAACATTGTTACTTCCAAATTTAACATTATTACTTCTACTCCCATGCACATAGAATATTTGATCACATCCTAGTGGTTAAGGGCTTGAATTTCTATGTTGGAGATCTCAACCACCCATCATCCGACGTACGAAAAGAAAAAATGTACATAGAAAATTCAAGGTGGTTCGAAAGTCAAAATCATATGCTTAAGTCATTATGAAATATAAGAATTCTCTTCCAAAGTTCCTATCTTTTGCCTCCCAAAGTTTGGCAAAAGAAAACTGACCTTTTATTCTTATGTAAATAAAATCTTATATGACCAACATTATTAAGCAATACAAGACAAGAAAATTTTAATACCCCTCAGAACCTTATAAAATTAGTCAGACTGCACATTATCTCAAGTTTCACTTTCTCGATGCTGAAATATCACCAAAAAGTATATAATACTAACAAAGCTAATCCAACTGCATCCTGCCCTTTCTTCAGCACTCCATTTTCCAGCTTAAAATTTTCTACATCATTGAAGGCATACAGGCCATAGTTCTGAAAAAATAAACAGTGGAATGGTTAATTGCCCTCCCAATTCTGACTATTCCTTTTTCTCATTGCCACCAGGTACAGCCCTTGTACATTTGCTACTCCAAAAGAACCTAATTTTCAATGACAACCACCAATTCACACTTACCTTAATGTTCTTTAGACGCTCATTGTCAAGCGTACTTTAATGTCGTTTTTCAGTATCCTTCCCCAACAATTTGAATACAACTTTGCAAGATATCCAAACATAAAATTGCATAACAAGAACGCTCAAGGGAGATTTTTCAGAATCTTTCCCCCACCATTTTTTTTTTTTTTTTTCAAATGAAAACTAATTATAAGCACAACAATAACCTAACATGAAGACAAGGCTAAATCTCAGCAATATTTCCACTTTTGTGCAGAAGCAATTACAGTCTCTAAATCATACATCTAGTTTCAATTTTACACTGATTTATTAATTAAACCATACTAATTGAAACTAAAGCTTCTTTTGACCAAACATTAAAAAAAGAAAAGAAAAAGAAAAAGACTAACATAAACTAAAAATTCCTTCTTTTTCCCATATAGATGACCACAAACAATTTCTTAATCCTTCTTTAATCCTTCCTCTGTCAATTCTAGTAAAGAAAATCAAAACTAAAACAAGAAGACCAAAAAAGTGAATCTAAACCATGGAATAAAAGTAGAGAGACCCTAGATTGCCCCACAAAAGAAAAGGACACAAACACATCACGGAACAAATCAAAGCAACATTTATCTAAAAGAAATGAGAACTTACCAGAGTGAAAAAAACTAACAAAATTCATCAGTGAATGCCATTTTGCTTCCATGAATCTCATTTACTCACATACTTCACATCACTCAGCTAAGTCTGCATGACAAAAACAGAGACTTAATGAGTCCAAAGAAAGTGGAGAGCATAATACCTTTGAAGGCCACAATTGCAGAGAGGAATGAAATAATCACTAAATAATGTTAAATCTCACAAAAGACTGTTTCTTATTTTTATCATTACAGCTATCACTAAACTGCTAAACAATTTATAATGTTTTTATATGTTTAATAACCATAACCTTGATGGTCCAAAGCTTTAATATCAAACAGATATATATATATATATAAACAAAGCATTGTCTGTCATATAAGGAGAAGTTAAAGGATCTGTAGCATAATTTAAGGGCAAAGAGAGCTTACAGAGAAAACCTTCCCATAATCAGCACTATCCTTGTTATGGATAGTGAAATGCCAATCAGGAACATATATTCCATACATAAAAGCAGACTAAACAATAAATGAAAATACACCCACTGCCCTGCAAATTGAGATACAAAAGGTTATTAATAAACATTATACTTATAGGATGCAATTTTGAGTCTAAGACCAAGAAAAAGCCTATATGCACTGACCAATGCCGACAGTGACACTTGAATATAG